AAAAGTTTCCCGAGAGACTTCTTCCTCTCACCACATCATTGAACCCTTGTCTAGTTGCAGCATACCTAGCTTCAGTGGACACATCAATGTCACATTTGTGACCATACTGCAGCCTATCACATCTTGCCATATTTGAAGCCACTTTCCATGTGTACAAGACATGGTAGCAGACAACTGAATAACTGGTGTGAGGAAGGGATGCTTCAATTACTTTGGCCCTTACAGACTCAAAGAAGTCAGCAGCTGTGGACCAAAGAGATTATACTTCACTGGATAATTCTGGTACAAAATATTCCTTTGGAATTCTTATACATAGTTTATTCACATCTGTCAAACTGGCAAGCATGAATGGTTTAACAGGATCTTGTAAGGTGGTAGAATCCTTGGAGTCACATCCAGCCAGTACACCCAACACAATTGCTGTATCATCCACACATCTGGTTAAGATTCCTGGCACATTCATCAAATTCACCAGGGGAATGAGACCAAGACAGGAAACTAAGCGATATCTTGGTTTGAAACCAACAGGTATAATTTTCCTCAGATCTAGATTCCCATATTCCTATTATGGTTCATGTCACATTACATTATAACTATTTGTTAAGGTATCTGTCTTTTGCTCCTGAAGGCAGACACTGTCTTATTCAACACTCAATAAATGTCTTCTAAATTGAATTATCATAAAAAATAATGGTTTTCCTTAAAACACACATATACACACACACACTCTCTCTCTCTCACACACACACACACAGAGAGAGAGAGAGATAAACTTAGGAGGAGCTATCAGAGAAGGTTACAGTTTTAGCTCTTGCCTTTTCATGGATTACAACCTAAGACAGATAATAAAGAAAGACATGGATGGTCACAGTGAACGTCCACAGATACACCTGAAAAGGAGGCAGTCAATGAACAGGTAAGATTGTAAATAAACAAGGACCTTTGCCTGCAGTAGTTGAAAGAAAAACCCCAGTACAAAAAAGAAATTACATTGGCTTATAAACATAGAAAATTCAAGAAATGTATCTGACTAAAGGCACAGATAAATCCAGGGTTTCAGATTATATCACTTGGATGTCAGATGCCCATTTGAAGCCTAACATGTCAAAAACCTGAGCTCCTTCTAATCGTCCTCCAAAATCTACTCCCCACTGTGCCTTCTGCATCTCAGGAAATGGCAGCTCCACTGCTTCAGTTATTCAAGCCAGGAATCCTAGAGTCAGCCTTGATCTCTCTTTTTCTCTGACCCTTCACATCTAATCCTTCATCATATTGTAGGCTCCACCTTCAAAATACAACCTGAATGTAATCTTCTTACTACATCTCCTAAACCAAATCATCCCTCACCTAAATAATTATAATAGCCTTTGGTTTCCTAGGGTCGATTTTCAACATAGACAAGAAAGACAGTTTAAAGTAAATCAAATCATGTCTCCTCTTTGCAAAATCCTTCACTGCCTTCTCATCTCACTCCACATAACAGTCAAAATCCTTACAAGGCCTCCAAGGCCCCATGCTACAGGCTTCCCTCCCCGTTCATCATCACCTTCACGTCTTCCCTCTGCCACTCACTCTGCCCCAGCCACACTGTTTTCCTTGCTCTTATCTAACTCAAACACATTCTGAGGCCTTTGCATGTGTTCTTCCCTTTGCCCAAATATGCACTTCCTGCAGATGTCTGCTTAGCTCACTCTCTCATATCCTTCAGACCTTTCCATAACGTCACTTTCTCAGAGAGGCCTTCCCAAGCTGTTCTTTCAAAACCACAACAATCCCACCCCATAATTCTCTATTGTCCTTCCTCATGGTTTATCTACACAGCACTCATCAAACATGCTACCCAATATAATGAATTGTGTTTATTGTCTGTCTCTCCTTTCTAGAATGTAAATTCCTTTTTCCATTGGTAGATACCCAACGTGTTCCAGGGACTGATGATGGAGAGCTGCTCCTTTTCCACTTGTCTGCATTGAACTATGTCACCTGGACCTGACATCACATAGGATTTCTTCTCAAGAAAGAAAGATCATTTAGCAATCCCATTACTGAATATACACCCGAAGAAATATAAATCATTCCATTATAAAGACACATGCACACGCATGTTTACTGAAGCACTATTCACAATAGCAAAGACTTGGAATCAACCCAAATGTTCATCGACAATAGACTGGATAAAGAAAATGTGGCACATATACACCATGGAATACCATGCAGCCATAAAAAAGGATGAGTTCATGTCCTTTGCAGGGACATGGATAAAGCTGGAAACCATCATTCTCAGCAAACTGACACAATAACAGAAAACCAAGCACCACATGTTCTTACTCAAGTGGGTATTAAACAATGAGAACACAGGGACACAGGGAAGAGAACATCACACACTGGGGCCTGAGGGGGTGGGGCGCTAGGGGAGGAAGAGTAGTGGTTAGGGGGACTGGGGAGGGACAGCATTAGGAGAAATACCTAATGTAGATGATGGGGTGATGGATGCAGCAAACCACCACCATGGCACATGTATACCTATGTAATAAACCTCCATGATCTGCACATGTACCCCAGAACTTAAAGTATAATAAATTTTTTTAAAAATTAAAACTAAAAAATGAACTTTAAAAAGATTGTTTCAGCTTTTTCCAGTGTTCCCTTTTCCACTGGGGGTCAGCCCTAGTCCTGGAGCCAGGATATAGGAAAAGACACCAACCCATCCCCAGCTGGGACCATACAATATCCATCCTCCCTGCTTTGATAATAGAACTCACTGAGTTTCAGCTGGCAGCCTATGTGGCCATGTGCATAAATTCTGAATAACAGAATATGAGAAGAAGTGATGTGTGCCACCTTTGAGTCGTGCCCTTGAAAAGAAATGTGTAAGTACTTCCCTGACCCTATTTCTCTTGTTATAAGTAAAATTTTGATGCCACAAAAGAAATAACACTCAAAGATAAATCCTCTCAGCAAGGCAGTTTACTTCTATAAAAGGGTGCAGCTCATGGATGGAGCAATGGCAGCTGCACATTTGGGCGAGTGAGGAAAAGGGGTACTTATGCCTGATGGGGGTCACCCCTACGGCTGTGTTTTCCCCTATTGGCTGGGGTTAGACCACACAAGCTATGCTAACCTCAACTAGCTATTTTAAAGAGAGCAGGGGTTCAAGCTGGAGTGGCAGTGTGGGTAGTTTGGTGAGAAAGATGGTTATGGGTGGGTCAGAGCAGGTAGCCAGGAGTGACCTAGGTCAAAGAAGGTGACTGGAGCAAGTGACTGGGATGAGTCAGGATGGAGCCAGGGACCAGGGGAACAGATGTAAACTACTCATTAGAACCGGTGGAGAAGGTTGTTTACTGGAACTACAAGGAAATGAAACTTTAAAATGAAGGACAAATAAATGACATACTGATTCTTTGAAGGTAAATTTAGAACTCATCGTATCCAATACCCTCTTGCTGGGGAAATGACAAGAACTGATCATCTGCCTCGGACTCTGAGGTGGATGCGCTCCTTGAGGACTCCACTGACACCCTGGCACCCCTGGACCACCTCCTTCTGCACGGTGATACAAGGAAGAGAGAAACTTCTATCTCAATTAAGCCGTTATATCTCAGGGTTGATTTGTTACAGCAGTCTGGCTAATACCCTAATACAAAACTTACATTGAGAATGCCTTTCCTGCCTTTTGGTATTTGGGGAGCAAAGGAAAATAACTGGGGGCTGAGGGAAGGGAGTGGAAGGGAAATGAACAGCAACTCAGTTCCAGACCCAGTTCTGCACAGAAGGCTGGGGCTGCTTCCTACTTGTACCGATAGGAAATAATTCCTGGTATGCTATTGTTAGTTAATTTCTAAAGGTTAATATAAATGTAAGTGTTATAAATGCAGCATGTTTCCGGAAGAAGACAAACAAAGTTCTTAGGTGGCTGCCTCTGGAGATGGGGACGGAAGGGCAGGAAGATAGCGCTGGACGAACAAATCTCACTTTTGGAGCTTTCTGAATGTTACTTCATAGGTAGGTATTCAAAAATAACAACAATGAAACCTTAAGAAGTCAACAACCTAAAAGTAATTTTTAGAGAGGACTGAACGCTCAGCTATTAACCCTTTATCGCACATGAATGATTTTCACCCATAGCCCACAGTGGTACAATCGGTTAAAAATGTCGCATTTTTGAAGGCCACTGTTAGCAATGGATGTGAAAGCAAACTTCCCCTTGGACATATGTATGCACAGCTTTCAAACGGCACAAGAAAAATCAGGCCTTTCCTCAATGGATTTTTTTGTTTATTGCCAGTGGAATCAGAAATCAGCAGCAGCCTAGAATCCTTGAAACTTTCCCTCCTTTCCCCCACATCATCATTTTATAAAGGTCATCCCACAGTGAAGGGGTTGCCAAGTCAGGGTGATGGCAGCTCTGCCGTGGCCCTCATTACGCTGATCTGTGCTGTCTTCCACCCCTTCATCAGCAGCGAAGTCAATATTTCATCTGGGAGCTAAAATTAAGTCATTACCCCTCCTGTGAGCAACACTCCTCCTGAAATAAAAATTTTACAACATTAGGTTGGAGGAGGATCACTTAGCATTTGAAAGCACTTCCCCTGTGACCTTGAGCTTTTATCGCTTGGGAGCCAAAATAAAATCTCTGAGGCAAGATTTATGAATAAATAATTAACCATGAAAATAAAAGCAGCACTGAAAAAAAAGAAGTAGGTCCCTCCACTTACAGCTGAAGCTGGAGAGAGAGTGTGTGTGGGGGGGAGGTATGTCTTTCTCTTTTGTGTACACAGTGTTTTCAAGAAAAAAAAAAACTAAGATATAAAAGCCTGACCTAATCACAGGAGCCATAAAACATTCAGACAATTTCTGCATGGCCCGCTCCTTCCATGGGCCTTCCTGCATCCTCAGAACATACCCAGGTCACCCAGACACTAAGCAGCAATGACAGCCCTCACTGCTCTCAATCCTCCTCTGGTTGTCTTCTCCCCACCCCCACTCCACCCTTCCCAGCAAGAGCAAGGGGTGCTTTCCCAGTGGTCCACCTGCCAGCCAAGTGTGTCTGAAGGGGAGGCAGCAGGAACTGAGTCCCGCAGAGAAGATTGCGGGCTCACATATCTCCCACCTCAGAGTAGGACTCTCTAAGAGCAGTTCACCTCGTGAAACAAAAATGACGACACTGGGGAACACTCAGTTCAATTTCAAGGCAACCAGGAAAACTCATCAGAAATTAAGAGAGCTCCCTCCCCCCTTTAAATGCAAACTCAGCATGCGGAGGACTGCAGTCCAGCCTTCTGTTCCAACTGTCACAGGCTGTCTCTGAAGAACTGCAAGTGCCTTCCTCTTCCTTCAGTGGTCACCTCCTGGTGAGCTGCCCATCCTAGTTCCAGCAGAGAAAACACTCCTAGCATGAACGAGAGGAATTCAGAGAGAAAAGCCCTTGCTGCCTCACGGTAAGAAAACTGACTGAGGGGCAAAGAGCCCAGGGATCTCCCTAGCCAGTCCCAGGGTTCACAATCCATGAAGAAGCATAAAAGGGCCTTGAACTTCATCCTAACGCTGGAAATCTAAACATTTTCTTTTTCATCTTCAAAGCATCTATTGTTTTTCTTTAGAGTGCTCTAACCTGCCTCCCTGATGACTCATTTTTGTCATATATTCTCTGAAGAAAGATCATAGACCAAATTATTCTGAAGTGTAACTGCCTGTTAAGAGTCAGGAAAAGAACTTTCCCAGCCTTACTGTCTTATTCTTAAATCAAGTTTTTTATTGGATTCTTCAATATATTCAAGCGGCTGAATATATATATACCACTGAGGTATAACTGGCATGAATAAACTGCAAATATTTTAATTATACAATTTGACAAGTTTTAATAAATGTAAACACCCACGAACAATCTCTATAATCAAGATAACAAACATATTCTTCATCCTTTAAAGTTTTCCCAGGCCCTTCTTACATCAGTTGTAGAGCAAAATAACACTGTTTCTTACCCTAGACCTAACCATAACTAGCTGTGTGACCTTGAGCCTCTTTGCAAGTTTTCATCTTTTCACATGTTCAAGGAGGGAACTGTATGAGATGATCTTCCTAGTCTTCCAAGACAAAGCCTTCTATGAATCTAGGCTTAATACTAACCTTCAAGGACAGAGCTCACCCATGAATTTCCTCGTCATTCTTTCCGTCCACAGAATCTATCCACAAGCTGTGGCCCCCATGATGATACCCTTGACGTCATAATATTTACTTTTGTATCTAAGTAATTCTACACTGTTGCCTCTATATGGACCAGTTTCATGGGCCAGTGACCTGTCACATGGGGCCGGCCACACAGGGCCCTACCCTCAGAAGGGTCATGCTGTTGACATTCAATGCTCTGCAGTTACCATCTTGAAATTCTTAATAATTTTGTCTTTGAATTTGTGGTTAATAAATGAAGTCTGATGAGACCATGGAGCTGCAAGCTTGGAACTTTGACTCATATATGCTCCTGCGTCCCACCACCTCCCTACCTGCTTGCTTTTTACAGGCTCTCAGCAGTCCACTCCCCAGCCTCTAGTATCCTGGCCCAATCTGACCGTCTCATTCCTGGCCCTGTCCAACAACTACTACCACTGTCTACCTGGGGTGGAGACCAAGTTGCATTGACAGAAAGAGGACTGCATTCTACTGTCATTCTTTACCCCAAGGAATGAGAGAATCATGGTTAGATGCTCACCCTGTGGCATCTTGGGACAGGACAAGACGGCATCCATCCTGCATCAAGATGACGGCTCCTCTGCATGTTTGGTGGGTGACCAGCATTGGGGGATGTGTCATCCACCTCAGTCTAGGTACCAAGCACATCCAGGCACAGGTTAGAATAGAACAGCCAGCATGTAGGAAGGGGACTGACTTTGCCATCCCATCCAGCCCCACATTTTTATTTTGCACAAAGTATGTCCTTTTTAAAAGCACATTGTGAATATAAATTGCCTGTTGCAGACCAGGAATCAACAAGACACCCTCCCATCTGTGCCCTTTCAAGAGGTCATGCAGGAAACAACACTGCATAGTGCTAAAAGCAATGACTATTTGATGATCCTCTGGACCCTGGCCCTCCTGTCACTGAGTGACAGGCAAAGACAGGTGAAGAATTTCCAGCCGGTTTAAGGAAAAGTGCAAAATGGTGTTAGCCAAGGTGGAGCTGAGCCATAGCAAACTGCAGGCTGGATCCTGCCTCCAAATCGCGTCAGGGTAGATGCTAAGCCTACCTAGTCTGCTCTCAAATGGGGACTCTGCCCCCCTCTCTGGATAACTCTCCCACCACCTCACTGCTGCCTGAGATGGCTTTAAGAGAAAATAGCTCCTGTATTTATTTAATAGCACTGCCCTAGTAAAGCACCACAAACTGGGCAGCCTAGAACAGCAGAGCTTAATTGTCTCACAGTTCTAGAGGCTAAAACTCTAAGATCAAGGTGCTAGCAGGACTGGCTTTGTCTAAGGTTATGAGGGAGGCCTGTTTCGTGCCTCTCTGCTGGCTTCAGGTGGTCTGCCTGGAAGCTCTGCCATTCCTTGGATTTTAGATGCATCCACCTTGATATTAACATAATGTTGTTCTAAAATTTTCCCTTTCATAAGAGCAGAAGTCATACTAGATTAGGAATCCACTCTACCCCAGTATGACCTTATTCTAACTGATTATATCTGCAATGACTTTGTTTCCAAATAAGGTCACATTCTAAGTTATTACAGGTTAGGACTACAACATAAATTTTGAGATGACACATTCAACCCATAACAGGAGCCATGAGTAGACCATCAGAGACAATGCTTCAACAGCCATTACTCCTGGGAAAGGAAGCGCGTTGGCTGGCTCAAAATTCACACTAAGAGTGAGCAAATTTTGCAGAAGAGAGAAAGCTAAACCTAAGGTCCTTTGGCTCTCCAATGCAGTTGGGGTACAGAAGAAAATGTTGGAGAGAGAGAGAAGAAAGGATAAGAAAGTATCTTCACAGAATACAGGCATAAAGAATATAAAAGAGTGACAAAGCCCAAGGACAGGCTTTACTGGCTCCGCAAAAGGCTCAGTCCTGAGGCTGGAGCATAGTTCCCTTCCTCAAAAGGTTGCCTATCCCCAGAGTGTAACTATTGTCATTTTCCTAAGGTGGAAACTTAACACACATACACACCGCAACACATGCATGTACACACACGTATGCACATATACCTACTGTCCTAATAATATTCCCTTTGCTGCCACAAAGGCCTGTTTCTCTTCCAAAGCGAGTTCTTCCAGAAACTGCCCCCTTATCCCCAACTATGCACAGAAGAATCAACACTTAATTATGTTAAGCAAAATCCTGCAGCAGCTGCAGACCTGGATATCAGAATCATGCTAAGAAGGAAGAAAATCAGTTGCAATTGCTGTACCTTTCAGAAAAATAGCCATCAATTTAAAGCTTCTTTGACTATCCCCCAGAATATTATAATGTACATAAAAAGGCCGGTGGGTATTTTAAGTCCTATTGAGAGCCCCTAACTGAATTATCACCAGTCAACCCCAGCACCTAAAATCTCTTCCACAATCTTGCTTTTGTAACAACAGGCTATGGTGTCAGCTGTCTGTAATCAGAAGGCAAGGTAAGCGTATGTTCTCAAGAAAATCCATGGACTTGTTAATGTTCAACAATGAGCAGACTTTAAAAATTCATTAACACTTCTGTTCTTAATCCATGGATTTTTTCATTTAATAACTGTGAGCTCACAGGAAGAATTTATTAGTATACCGCATGATATAGTTTGGCTGTGTCCCCACCCACATCTCATCTTGAATTCCCACGTGTTATGGGAGGAACTCAGTGGGACGTAATTGAATCGTGGGGCAGGATGTGCTGTTCTTGTGATGGTGAATAAGTCTTATGAGATCTGATGGTTTATAGAGGAGTTCACTGCACAAGAGCTTTTTCTTTGTCTGCCACCATCCACATACGCTGTGACTTGCTCCTTCATGCCTTCTGCCATGATTGCAAGGCCTCTCCAGCCATAAGGAGCTGGCGAGGCCTCAACTCAACCCATAAGAAGGCCCATGACTAGATTGTCAGAGACCATGCAGAGCCATGAAGAAACTGCCCCTGCAGAGAAGCAGCCAGACTGCTGGACTCAGAGCAAGGAGCCATGTGGAGGGAGAAAAGAAAAAAGAGAATTGAGGAAAGGGAGAAATGGAGCTCCTGCACATTTTTCTTTCATGGTGACAGTGATGGAGGGGAAGGAGAAGGAGGGGAGAAAGAGAGTTCCACTCCTTTCCGTGGTCAGTATCTTTTAGTTTTTCTTTTCTAATAGTCCATTAAGTCTCTTTTCTTATAAATCATCCAGTCTTGGCAATGCCTTTATCAGCAGCCTGAAAACAAACTGATACACCACAATTGCTACTTGGAGGATCTGGCCAGGTGATGAATTAGATGAGGTTTTACTTTTCTAAACCTGTGGATGTTGAAATCCTCTGCAAGAGAAATTAACCAAGTCTTATCCAGAGGTGGGGCAACATGGGTTTGAATGGCCCAGCACGACAGAATAGTAATTGGCATAAATAAATACTAAATTTTGCATCTTCCCAATGCTCTAGGAGGAAGGTGCTATCATTATTCTCACGGTATGATCTGAAGTCTTGGTCACTTTAAGTCGGGGGCCCACCCTACCCCAGTATGACCTCATCCTAACTTAACTAATTACACTTGAAATGAACCTATTTCTCAATAAGGTCACATTCTGAGTTACTGGAGGTTAGAACTATAAATATGAATTCCGGGGGTATACAGCTCAACACCTAACAAGGCCCATGACTAGAGCAGACCATGCACGTCAGAGACCATGCAGAGCCATGAAGAAACTGCCCCTGCAGAGAAGCAGCCAGACTGCTGGACTCCAGAGCAAGGAGCTATGTGGAGGGAGAAGAGAAAAAAGAGAATTGAGGAAAGGGAGAAATAGAGCTCGTACACACTTTTCATTCATGATGACAGTGAGAGAAGGAGAGGGAGGGGAGAAAGACAGTTCCACTCCTTTCCATGGTCAGTATCCTTTAGTTATTCCTTTTCTTATCATTTCTAGCCCATTCCTCCATTTCTGAAACTGCAGTTTCATAAGATATTTTGCTTTTATTCCATAATTCCAAACTACCTGACAAGGAGATTCTCAGCCCATGATGATTTAGGGAATTGGATGCTCTTAAACAGTGGTTCATGTGATGGATATGGCAGGCCAAGGTGACGGTCAATGCATGTCTAATGCACTCATTTGCTGAGAATTGCTGGAAATCACTGGACTGCACAGTGATTAGCATTGTCTACATGCACATTCACACACATGCCATGGCCAAACATCACATTAAAGAGATGGTCTGGTAGAGAAAACAAAACAGCAGACCTGGATCAGTCAAAGCAGCCTTCCATAACAATACACCATTCATTGGGTGACTTAAACAACAGAAATCTATTTCTCACAGCCTGGAAGTCCAAAATCAGAGGATGCCAGCCCGGCTAGGTTCTGATAAAGGCTCTCTTTTTTTTTTTTTTGAGATGGAGTCTAGTTCTGTTGCCCAGGCTGGAGGGCAGTAGCACAATCTCGGCTCGCTGCAACCTCCACCTCTCAGGTTCAAGCAAATCTCCTGTCTCAGCCTCCTGAGTAGCTGGGTCTACAGGCACGCACCACAAGGCACTCTTACTGCTTTGCAGATGGTCTCCATCTCACCGTCCTCACATGGCAGACAGACAGCCATCTTCCTCTCTTCCTCTTCTTATAAATCCACCAACCCCATCATGAGGTCTCCGCCTTATGACGTCATCTAAACTTGATGTCATCCCAAAGGCCCCAATGCTAAATGCCATCACATGGAAGTTAGTGCTTCAACATGTGAATTTTAGGGAGGACACAATTCAGTCATTCCACTCTGGCCCCCTTAAATTTTTATCCTTCTCACAAGTAAAATATATTCCTTCGATCCCAACAGTCCTTCACATCTTTATTCATTCTAGCATGAACTCTAAAGACTAAAGTCCAAAGACTCATGTAACTATCAGTAAAATATGGGTGAGACACATAAGGGGCTATGGTTCATTCTCAGACAAAATTCCTCCCCTTCTGCAAACCTTTGAAATCAGACAAGTTACATGTTTCCAAATTACGATAGTGGGACAGGCATAGGATGGACATTCCTATTCCAAAAGGGAGAAATAAGAAAGAAGGAAGGAGTAATTGGTCTCAAGGAAGTCCACAGCTTAGCAAGGCAAATTCCACTAGATCGTAAGCTCCAGATTCATCCTCTTTGGTTTTAGGCCCTGCCTTCTGGACCACTGGGGTGACAATCCTACTTCTGAAGCTCTGTTAGGTGCCGGGTTACACCCTCAAGGCTGCGTGTGGCCCCACTCAAAAGATTTTGCAGAGTGGTCCCATTCCCACAATGTTGGTCAGAGGCCATCTAACCTGTTCAAACCAAGTGGTGCCCTTTGATCATCTCTGAATTGCCTTCTTGAAGAATAACGCATGTTTTCCTGAAGATTAGTGCATGTTCACAGCAAAGTGTCTCTATGGTGTATTCCTGTTAAATCTAAGAAGGACAATAGCCTGCCCTAATTTCCTCTCATTTTTTTCTGTTCTCTTTAGTTCAAACTGGCAGGGTCCTTGCTGGTGTAATCTCATCTCTCTTCCTGGATTCTGTTAAAATGCTTAAGTCAATAGGTCATACCCGTGATGTTTCATCAAATGATTGTTCAGCCACACCCTTAGTGATCTCTTCAAAACAAGCTTTTCCATTTTTTGCAATGTGGATAAGCTGAGAATTTTCAAAAATCTTTA